CTTGAGCTTTTATGGTATAGGATTTGTTGAGTAATTTGAGTTATTCTGGGATAACTAGAACTGGTTGGTATGTGTACCTAGGGTTATAGTACTGAGTTGGTTTAGGGAAATTAATTCAAATTGAATTTGAATGCTTTTATTTACAAAAACAGTGTCTCTCTTACAAAAATAATGCATACTGCTATCCTATATATGTATTGCCTTATGGTAAAGGATTAATTGACTTATTTGAGTTATTCTTGGATATTTAGAACTGGTTGGAACTGTATGTATATTTAGGGTTATAGTACCGAGTTGCTTTAGAGAGATTACTTGAAGTTGGATTTCTGCTTTACGGAGATTACTTGAAGTTGGATTTCTGGGAGTTTATTTACAAAAACAGATTATGTCTTACAAAAATATTGGTTTGTGCTATCCTATATATTACAATGTACTACCTTTTGTTGATTTCAATTCAGGTTGTAAGTCAAAGAAAAGGGGATGACTTTAAATACTGTGGTTACACTTAAGATCTGGCATGGAGGCACCTTTAAGAAGAATGCTAGAGGAGAGTTGGACTATGCAGGGGGTCAGTTTAGATGCTTTGATATAGATGCTGATGAATTATGTTGGTTCTGGTTAGAAGACTTAGCTGGAAAGTGTGGGAAATATAGTAGTATTGATGAAATATATTACTTGATCCCCGGTAAGAGTTTGGAGACAGGTTTGAGAAGTGTTAAATTTGATGCTGAGGTGAGAGAAATGTACAAGGTAGTAATTCAATATAGTACCATAGATCTGTACATTAGACATGGGCTTAGTTGTCCTGAACTTGTACTACTGCTTGAAGGGACCGGTGAAAACATAGGTGGGTCCGGGGGCAGTGAACCACATACAACTGCAGGGACTGGAGGAAGTACAACACAGCCAACACAAGGAGGGGGTTGGGAAGAAACAAAAACTCCAGATGCCAATGAGTCAGACCCTTCTGATGAAGAGCTGAATGATGAATCAGAAAACAAAGAGCAAAATGAAGATGTGGAAATTGAAGGTGAAGGTGTGGAGGAGCTAGAGGTGCCACTATTTGGATCAGATAATGACACAAGTGATGAAGAATTTCTAGAGTCTAGAAAAAGAGTCACAGGTTGGAATTCAAATATAATTGATATAGCAAAACAGCTTCAAAAAGATGCTCTTGAAGGTGCAGTAGGGGGTAAGATGGAATCAAACACAAGTGTTAATGATCAAGGTGATTCTCATGACAATGACTTTGTCAGTGAATACGAAGATTCTGATGAAGATATCCACACACCTCCAAGCAGTGACAATGAGGACAGTCTCCCAACAAAGAAAAGAGGTAAAGTTACTGTGGTGGATGCACATACAGACTTCAGTAAGCTAAAGTGGCAGGTTGGTATGAGGTTTGAAAATAGAGAGAAGTTTAAGGATGCAATAACAAGGTTTGCAATTTCTCAGGGCAGGAATCTGAAGATTCATGTGAGCAGTAAGAGTAGACAACAAAGGGTTGGTGCTAAATGTGTGGATGGTTGTCCTTTTAGGTTGTATGCCAGTTGGCATAGTAGGAAAGGGAGTCTTGTGGTCAAGTCTGTCCAAGGAGACCACACTTGTAATAGGAATATGAAAAAAAAATAGACAATTGAAAGCATCATGGGTGGCAGAGCAGTTCTTAGAAGTGTTCAAATCTAGACCTCACTGGCCTGCAAAAGAGATAATAGAGACCATTAGGAGAGGTTACAAAGTACTTGTTCATAGGGACTATGCATACAAAGTCAAATACCATGCCCACAAGAAGCTACATGGCAGTATGAAGGATCATTATAATAAGTTAGGAAGGTATTTGGAAGCATTAACTCAAGCTAATCCCCTTAGCCATTTTAAACTTCTCACTGATCCTAAATCTAAAACCTTCCCCCCCACCTTCCAGCGCTTCTTTGTGTGTTTTAATGGTCTTTTAGATGGGTGGTTGAATGCTGGTAGAAGAGTTTTATGTGTGGATGGATGCTTCATTAAAACCTTCTTAGGTGGGATGCTTTTGTCTGTTGTTGGGAGAGACTCAAATGACCAAATGTTCCCGTTAGCTTGGGCAGTAGTGGAAGGTGAAAACAACTCTAGTTGGGAGTGGTTTTTATTAGAGCTAAAGAAAAACTTAGGACATTCTGATGGTGCAGATCTGACTTTCATTTCTGATGAACATCAGGTATTTTATTCTTACTTTTAATACTTTGCATTCATTTAGCTTTAAGTAATGTATTTATGTATTGTTTTTGCAGTCAATATTGCGTGGAGTTTCCATAGTATTCCCAATGGCAGAACATAGACACTGTGCACGTCATGTATTTGCTAATTGGCACAAAACACATAAGGGGGATGAACTGAAAATGCTGTTTTGGAAAGCTGTGAAGGCATACAATGAAGCAGATATGCAAGATGCATTATATGAAATGGAAAAAGTAAGTCCAAGTGCTGTGATAGCTTTTAAGGCTTGTAACCCTCATGTTTTCTGTAGAGCTTATGTTAGAGCCACTAGTAAGTGTGATGTGATTGTGAGTAACATGGCAGAAACATTTAATGGTTACATAATTAATGCAAGAGCCAAACACATAATTTTCATGCTAGAAGATATAAGGGGTGCATTGATGCAAAGAATGGTGGTGAAAAGGGAGGCAATGGAAAAAAGTTTATCTATGATCTGTCCTAGAATTCAGAGTAGATTAGAGAAAGCAAAACATGATGCAGCCCAATGTACCCCTCTACCATCTAGTCAAGTATCATTTCAGGTTAGCCATTACTTAGATACTCTTACTGTGAACTTGGAAAGTAAGAGTTGCACATGCAGAAGGTGGGATTTGAGTGGAATCCCATGCTGCCATGCAGTGGCTTGCATGTTCTTCCTAAATGCAACTCCTGAGGATTATGTTCATAATTGCTACACTAGAGAGGCATATATGAAAATGTATTCTGGTTGCATTGCCCCATTGACCGGAGAAAGACACTGGCCTAAAGTAGAGTTGCCATTGGACCCCCCACCAATAAAAATTGGTCCTGGCAGACCAAGAAAGAATAGGATAAAACCTCCCTATGAAAATCCAAAGAAACCTGGGAAGTTAACTAGGCATGGAGTTGAGATGTCATGTAGTATTTGCAAAAGTAAGGCACACAATAAGAGAAAGTGCCCTGACAAAAACAAGCCTGTGGAGCCTCAACCTAAGAGGAGTAGGGGAAGACCAAGGAAACATATCCAAGATGAAGCAAACTCTACAAACAATCATGAAATCACAGCACATCCATCAAGGCTAGGTAGGGGAGGAAGGGTCATTCCTGGCAGAGGGGAGAGTAGAGGTGGCAGCAAACTGGTTAGGGGGGGAAGTGGAAGAAGCTCACAACGCAGAGGAAGGGGACACATTCCTGTGGGATATGGTGTAATTATTGATGACCAGGGACATACTTGGACCAATGTAAGAAAATATCTTTACTTTTTATATGCATTTTATGACCATGCAATTTATAACTACTTGGCCTAACTTTACTTATATGTTGACAGAGTCCTGGACAACATGGAGGACTAAGGAATCTATCAGATACATGAAGTGTATGAACAAGAATGTGGGACTGAAGATTACAAGGAATTTTGCGTGTTTTAGAATATTACTTGTACTATGTGCCTGGAAGTGGGACTTTGTAAAAGTAATGATGATATGTCATCATTACTTGTTAGATTATTATATGTAATACTTAACTAGTTTGGAAAACAAGTTACTTTTGTCGTAATGTTATGTAATGTACTAATGTCATGTTGAATATGGTGGTTTATTAATGTTGAACATGGTGGTGTATTAATGTTGAATCTGGTGGTTTCTTAATGTTGAATATGATGGTTTATTAATGTTGAATATGGTTTTTCATGTGTGGTTTATGAATGAGCATGAGGTTTCCTAGTCAGTTTTGGAAATCATCTCTTGGAACCTTATTACAGGTCATGTGTGCTTGTGGTTTGGTAATTTTCTTGTTCAAATTTATAACACCTAATGTGGAGCTTAATGTGGTTTCATTAAGTGGAGTATCCTTTGACATGATGAATAGAGAGGATAGTTTTGTGTGGTGAGAGGCTAATTCAGCCTTAGTTAAGTGTTGTCTCCAGTTTTTGGGTAATTTCATTTCATATTGAGATAGTCATAGTAGTCGTTTTTTATGTTGTTTCCCATTTTCTGTAATGACTATTAGTTTAGGAAAAAAATCTTTTTTTTTTACATTTCTTCTTTGATTTACACTGTTAATCATTTTTTCATTACTTAATGTAGCGTTTTCACTTGATTATATGACTATGAGAGTCACAGATTCTGTTTCACCAGATGCTTTGAGCTAATTTTCCTGAACTTATTAGCTAAACTTATAGCTTATTTTCCTGAACTTATTAGCTCATTTCCACTTCTTTTTCCTGAACTTATAGCTAATTTTCCTGAATGAGAATGAGGATTCTGTTTCAACAAATGCTTTTCAATTGATATACTTCTGTTTCAGCGTTTTCCTGAACATATTAGATAATCTTCACTTCTTTTTTTTTTTACACTCTTATCATCCTTTAATCTTCTCCCTTATCCTCCAGCTTCCCTTTCCTGGGCAGTCACACTATGCATTGTATTGGCTTTAGCAGATGCTTTTTATTACTCTCTTTTAAGTTAGCAGTAGCTTGAGCATGCATTGTATTGGTTCTAGCATTGAAATCAATCAATTTGTTCTATGTTTTGCTGCCAACTTCAGCATTTTTGTCTACAAATAAGCCACCTGGTTCTCTGCAGCTTGGTGTGCTATCTTTCATGTTGGAAAGAAACACACACTTATCATATTTCAGTGTTTTGTATCATTCAGATTTCAGAGTGTTAATAACAGAAACACTTGAATGTGTTCAGTTGGTTTTGAGTGTGGTAATGTGCACACTTCTGTACCAAATTTGTAACAACAAAGACCAACGACCCTGCTCTTATACACATCACAAAAATGAAGCTGAATTTTTTTTAGGAACCAAGGTATTCATGAAGCCACAATTCAAACACACAACACAAACATACCAGTACTAATCTAACAATACACAACATCAACACATAACACTCTTCCCATACAACACTTCACAGTTCACACTTCACACACTTCTACTAATCTAACAATACACACCATCAACACATAACATTCTCCTCCCATACAACACTTCACAGTTCACACACTTCTACTAATCTAACAATACAAACCATCAAGAATAACATAGTTATCACTTGGACTTCCCATACATCACAGCAGCAAAAACAATCCAGGAGATGAGCAGACCAATAAATGAGTACTTCTCTCCTTTTGCATGCTTGGAAACTAATTCCTGGAGCTCCTCAATTTTAGCTTTGAGCTTTTGATTCTTCTTTTTCAACTTTGCAATTTGGTTTTCTAAATCTTTTTTCTCCTCATCAAGATGGTCGATTATTATTCTTCCTTTTTCCCTTTTCTTTTCATCTGCAACCGCCATGGGTGGATAATCCCTAACCCATTGAAAAAACGAGCAATCTGCGTTCTAAAAAAGGCCCCATTTTTCATACATAGTTTAATTCAAAAAAATCATACATAATTCATAAATCAGTCAAACTTACGGGCCATAATGCACATCCATAAAATCTTCGACCACGGTTAGAGCCTGATTTCACCGTTCTAGGTTTTGAACACACCCCATGGTGGCATTCAATTGAACACTCGATTTGGGTTTCATCCCTTCCTCCACGAGAGGATGACCAAGACGTTGAACTCATTCAATTGGCGACTCCTATGGCCAGACAAAATCTGCAATTTGTGTTGCAGCGCAAGGAAGAAGATAGATGAAGGTAGCGTTCAAAGCAGAAAAGAGGAGATGTGAAGATGATAAATGGAAGGAAGGAGTATTAAATATACACGTGCCCTATCACGTGAGTGTATGACCGCCTATTAATTAGAGTAACCGGTCATGGTCTAATAATGGAAGACATACCCCTGAGTACGGATTAAACAGATATAATACATAGTAGGGATTATTAAAAGCGGACGCGCCATAGTTCGGATTATTCGGGTCAATTTTTCCTTTTAGTTATTATATTTGTGTGCAATTTATAAATTTTATACTTTTATGAAGAGATATTACCCAAAATAGGACTAAAAAGGTTTGAAAATTCCAAAATAGGACTTCCATGTTTTTATTCCTAAAATAGGACTAATTACTGTCATGTTTTGGCAGTACCAGACTTCAAACATGGCAGTATTTCCCAAACTTGGCAGTAATTACTCCTATTTTGGGAATAAAATACATGACAGTCCTATTTTGGAATTTCCAAACTGTTTTAGTCTTATTTCGGGAACTTTCCCTTTTATGAAAGATTTTTTTAATAAAGATTATGCTCACATAATTTTCATATTTTTATTAATTTTGTATCAAAAGATATCATTAATCAAAAGTGATTACCATTGACCAAGAAAAGTCAAATTGATCAATCTTTTTAGGACGGAAGGAGTATCTTTTTAGGGTGATTCTATTCATGGCCCCATTTGTACTAAACACACACCCACATTTTATAATGCCATTTACGCCCTTGCAATTTAACGTAGTTCTAACTTCATGTCGTATTGGAAGAACCAAACTCTTTCCCATTCCCTGCAAGCTAGCGTAGTCGATCGCACGATATCTAAAATTCAAGTTAGCAGCAAAGACAGAGATGAGAGGGTAAGTCAGAAAGGACCAAATTTGGAATTCAAACTAGCAGTCTTGAGTCGCTGCCTGAGAAAGAGAAGCCTTAAGTAGCTTCTCTCCCTCCTCGACCTCTACTTCGACCGAGAAAGAGAAGTTTCCAGTACTTTACCAAGGTTGTTTAATTTCTTGTGTTCTGAATGATTTCTTCTAAATAATAACAAAATTGCTCAAATATTTGCTACCACGTATATTTTACTCCTATTAAGGGGGTTTTCTCTTGATTAATTGCTATTTTCATAGATTGTTGTTGCTTATATAAGGTCATCTTTATCCTTGGTTCATCTTGGGTTTTGGTATTTTCTAATTTGTTGTTTAGATAATGAGGGTGAAAATTTGATTTTAATACTCATTGTGTGCTTGAGTATTCAACTTAGGTGAGATTGTACTAGTCTTTTTTAAAGATAAACTTCACTCAGAGGGTCCACTAGAACTGGTAAAGTGGTAATTAAGACACTTTATTGAGAGGGTCAAGTTATGTTAAATTTGTTTATAATCATGGTGTCATTAACAAGGAGTGGATGCTTGCAACTAGTTCTTCACTTCTTATGTAGAACACTTGTTAGTGTGAGATTGGATGACTTTCGTTTGATGGTGATGGGGCTGGACAAAAGTTTGGCAGCTAATAAGCAAATCATGACTATCTAAATCGTTTGGGGATGTGTTGAACAAGCTCTGCTTTGGGTTAAGAAACTAAAGTAATTGATTGAGTTCCTAGTTACTTATAAGGATGTGTGATGGATAGTCTACCCGGGGGGTATCTTATCCGAGGGGTTATTGCGGGAATTACTAGAGAGAAGTCAGAGCAAAGTAGGAGGAGAGAGAGTCGATTTATTAAATGAACTCAGCGTGGTTTACAAGGTGAATAAGGGCTGCTATTTATAGCAGCAATAAATGCGATGAGAGGACACGTGTCAGTAATCCAACGGCCGAAGGGTCACATCAACCGGTTGGCACCGGCAGCGGTACGTTCACCGCATTAAATGCGGTTGGCGGATGCGACGTGGCTTTAAATGCGGTGGTTGGCTGTCTCCAAAAGGAATCTTTGATGATTGAGAGTGTTTGGACGAAGGCACCTTGTATCGCCGAGGGCTCCATGTAGCCAAGGATCCCTGTGTAGTCGAAGGCCCTGTGTGACCGGAGGCATGGTTTAGCCGGGGGCTTCTCTGATGCCGAGGGCATGGTTTAGCCGAAGGCTCACATTTTTCGCCGTTTTCTCCCAGTAGCCTCTTATGCCAGAGAAGGCTACCCTGTGAGATTTAGAGCCTTCGGCCAAGGAGGCCGAAGGCATTCCAGTGCGTATCTGGGTTGTGTTGAGGCTTGGGCCGCTGCATTTTGGGCCTGAGTTGTTCCCTGGGCCAATGGACTTGTGTAGGAGAAGTAGGAGTCTATGGGCCCGAGGTTCCTGGGCCATATACTCCATCAGGAGTCCCTCACTCCTTTTGCCGAAAGGTACTTGAGGGAAAAGGAGTAGATGTGTTGATTCTTCTGGGGGCTTCATCATTTGGTTGGGCGCCTTTGCTTGAGAACTTGCCTCCTGCTGGTCGCCGAGGGCTTCCCTCAGTCCCTCACATGTCGAGGGTTTCCTGAGGAAAGTATGACACCTGTAAATTGTTGTATGAGGAAATTTTTTGTTTAGTACGATTCCCGAGGGATGTGTCCCAGTCCCCCACTCCTTTAGGCCGAAGGCGAGTTCGGGCTGAAGGAGTTATAGTGTGTTGTTGGGTTTTCCGAGGGTTATCCGAAAGCTTATACTATTATCTGCTCGAAGCCTCTCGCAGGTGGTGGCCGGGGGCTACCATCCAATATACGCGTCGAGGAGTGGCAACATTGACAAGCGAAGGCTCTTGTTGCTGCCGGCTCGAAGGCGTTATGTTGGAATTCATTGGCTGAAGGTTGTGTTGAGTGATAGCCGGAGGCCATCATTCGAGGGCACCCCAGTGTTGCCGAAATATAGTCGTTGTAATATAGCCGTTGGAAGAGGGGTTGACGTGGCGCGTTCCCGTTGGTTGAAAGGGGGCGGGTGTCACCCATAGGCTGAGGCGGCGGCCCGTAATGATGGGCTTTTCAAATCGAAGCCCAACTCTCGAGGCCCAGTTGCCTATAAATACCCTGAGCTTGAGCTCATTTGTCCTTGCGCGATTTTAGAGAGATAGCGGAGCTCTGCCAATTTTTCTAGAGAGAGAAACCCCTGCATTCGGCCTAACCAGCTTTCCAAGGTGAGTCTTTCATCTGTTCTCCATACACTTAGCGCATTTCGCTTTCCTGGTCTTAGGTCTAGGTTTTAGGGAATCCTCAGGAGCCCCCAGCCAGTTTTCTTCTATTCTCGCCACCTTCTGATACCGAGGAGATGTCGTCGGCTAGTGATTCCCAAGACATTTCCGTGGAGGCCCCGGTCCAGTCGGAGAGCTATTCTGAGGTGGAGTCCTCAAGTGGACAATCGTCGGTCAAAAATGACGCCGCTGTTGCCGAGGAAGTCCAAGACACCCTTCGGACGGAGCTTGAGGCGGAGGAATTTGAGCAGGTGGCGGAAGACGAGGAGATGGCCCTCGCGCTTCAAGTAGCCGAGGAGGAGGAGGAGAAAGAAAGGCAGCAAGTAACCGTCGCTGTCTTGCCCTCTCGCGGTACCGGGGGGGCTAGTAGTTCCCGGCCGCTGAATCCGGAACCCCTCAGAGTTGCACCGGGTAAGAAGAGGCAGAAACTAAGGGCTGCCCCGAAGAAGAAGATGGCAGCTGTTGATGCCGGGCAGCCGGTGGGGATTCCCGAGGGGCACTCCTATTTGGACACCGCTGCTCTCGAAGTAAAAACCACAGCCTCGGGAGCGGAGTATCAAGCTCTCCAGGTCCTTGTGGGGCCTTCGGCGCAGGTAGTCGAGCCGGGCCCCGATGACTTGCTCTCGAATCCTCCCGAGGGGTGTTTTTCGGTGCACATGCTCTCGGTGGAGTTAGGGCTCAGATTCCCACTCCACCCATTCGTGGTAAAGTATTTGAAGTTTGTGAAGCTGGCCCCATGTCAGCTCACGCCGAACAGCCACTACTACTTGGCGGGATTCCTCTCCCTTTGCCGAAGCCGGAAGGTGGAGGCCACGTTAGAGCAGTTCTTCCTCTCCTTCAACCTGTGTCGGGGGGGACATTCTCATGCGGGGGGGTACGCGAATCTGCAGCAGGTGCCGACCTGGAAGCTGTTCTCCGAGACTCCCTCCTCCCATAAAGATTGGAATGAGAAATTTTGCTACATTCGGGTGCCCGAAAATCCGTTCCCGGGGTCCCTCAATAATTATTTCAAAAGGCACCCGAAGGTAGGCAATGCCACCCTCGACAAGGCTGGGAGAAAATTGACCGAGAAACCGGCGGGTTCTGAGAAGGTGATCGCTATCAAGGAAGCGACGCTACCCGAGGAGCTGTACCTACTTGGCTTCCGGCGGTACCGCCTTTCGGAGGATAAAGATGACAAGTACCCACCGATTGATCGAGGGTATCAAAACTCCGGAGGTTGTGGCCGAGGGCATTTGGTTTTTGTACTTAGAGCATTTTTCTTCAATTTGCCGTGATTTCTAACCTTCTCTTTTCTTTTGCAGGCGATATTATGGACGTGCAAGCTTTCGCACGGTTGTCAAAGAAATTGGCTAAGGTGCCAAAGAAGAAGGAGGCCCCCTCGCAGCAGAAGGCTGTGGATGAATATTTCAGGGGGGACGGGGGCCCCAAGATTGCAGAGGGTGACGGGCCCTCGAAGGAAGTCGCTGCCCTCGACACCGGTGCTGATGCCGGGGCCCCCCAGGCTGGGGGCCTTAAAAGAAAGAATGCCGGGAAAGGCGTAATGCCCCCGGAAACCAAGAAGAAGAAGAGGGCCGAGGGGGGGAAGGATGCCCCCTTGGTGATCCTCGAAGAACCTTCCTCTTTCCTCTCTTCGGAGCCCGCTCCACTTGAAGATCTTGATGAGGGGCCCTGGCCTCAAGAGACGGTACAGTTCTCTTTCAAGAAGGGAACCGCCATTATGCATGGCACCCTTGACCCGAGGGAGTTCCTGAGGGGTGCCACTCCCCCGCTGGATCGGGCCACCCTCGGCCGGTTCGACGATGAGACCCTCGAACTCAAGGCCCTCCAGGCCTCCGTC